GCATCTGACTGAGGCTCAGTGGGTTTATAATGATAAGCAATTTTTCAATGCTTAGACAGAAGCTCCCTGAAGAGCCCCTCTGTCCTTCAACAACACAGAGCAGTCTAAACTGGTTGCATTGACTATTTCAGACTGTTTTGGAGGAACATAAAAGGCCTCTTCTTAAAGATCCATTGCAAGTTTAGAGGGCAAATATTGTTTTCTCTCCCCTACATGTCGTCACAATTGCCTGACATAAAAATAAGCTTTGGTCTACTTGCCACAGTGGCCTCCATTGGCTCTGTTGGCTGCCGTACTGAGAGTACAGGGGAGATTGTTTTTGAAGATGGATTTCAAAGGACCAGCCACAAGTGTGCCTCAAACCCCATCAGTCTCCCCACAAGAATAAAAACATAAAACTTTCATTTACTGTGCCGTCCAGGGCCAATTTGGACTTCGATCGATTACTGAAAAAGATGACAAAATGTCGGGGATGCTTTTAAAACGGAGGGAGAAGTGTTCTGATCATATTTGCTAAAATGGTAAGATGCTCCGTTAGAAATAACTTTCCCAAGCCTCTAAACAAAAGACCTGGGCAATCACAGCGGCCAACTCTGGTGCTTTTTTCTTACATTCTTGTCGCCAGAGGATGGCGAACTTCTGCAAAAATCCTTGTGCTATGCTCTGTTAAACAAGGTGTAAAAACGGGTTTCATCACCTTGTGTGTCTGGTCACCCTTGCTTATGAACAAGCTTTAAGGTTTCTACGGTGTTCTACGGTGTGAAATGTGTTTAAAAAGACATACATGTTTCTTCTGTGGATACAGAGAATCTTATGCTTCAAGGGCTAGATTTTTAGCTTTGTATGTGTATGCCCCACACATATAAAGCCACTACACCCAGAGGGTCCCCAGCTGGTGAAATGCAGGAGGGAAAACACTTTAATTACATTTGCTGGTCTCCAGTATTAAGGATGAATACTAAACAAGCAACAGCCTCCATGGAAATGAATTCATCTGTATGAGTGTGTGTATGTGGAGTGCAATGAATTACTAACCCTTAGATATCTTTATATTTTAGAGAGTTTTATCAGGATTTAATGTGACAGGCCCTCAAAAGGTGGGGTCTATTTGTTATGAACAGGGAAAACAGTACATGTTTTCAAAACATACACCATGGAGAAATTCTACACAGGGTTAAGTTGAAAAAGACAAAAACAAACATTTTTGATCATTTAAAAAGTGGAAAGGTAGAGGTACATTAGCATAAATTGAGACAAGAGAACACCAACCAAGATATGAGAATCTACCTAAAATGACAGACGGGGAGCAAGCAGAGGATTAGCAAATCTGGAGGTCCACCTCTCAGGTGAGTAGTCATCTCTCTATCCAGCTTTGCCAAGCTTCAGTTATATTGCAAAGAAGAATGTGAGAGACAGTACCCAAAAGACTTAGACCTCATAATGCAGTGGAAGGCTGAACAGATTATTGTCCACTGTTTCCATTTGCCATATGTTTCTTATATTAGTCTATTAAATAAAACACAGATAACACATACTAAAAATAATGGTTGGAAAGATACAAAAGCTGAAAACAATTAAGGAGTATAAATATGTTTGGTTTTGGTCATTGTATGCTAGAAACTGGCGCTACCTTTTAATGAAAGACTAAGCAGCCCTGGGAAGGTGCTGGAAATAGTTTCTCACGCAAACTGTGCAAACATATTTTGGTAAAGCATGATCCTGTTGGGTTTGGCTATTTGCCGAATGACACTTCCCATGCTCTGTAAGTTTGGGTTCGTTTTGTAACATTATGTTAAGTGTTGTTTTGAAAATATGTTCACTTATTAATACCAGTTAACTAGCAGGGGAAACTGGACACATAAACGTTAGATACTGTAGACAGTTTAAATGTTTTGTAGTAAAACCCTTTTTAAAGATAAATAACAAGCTGATTAAAAAATGGTGGTGCTTAAATTTTTTTCTATAAAGAAAATATCCACTAAGTTCCATAAAGAACAAAATGTTTGAGCTATTTTTTTTTCCGATCGAAGATTTCTACAGCTTGAAGATTGTATATAGTTGCATTTCTAGGTTTTCCTTTTGAAGATTATGGGCCGGATTTATCAAGATCCAATTTTGCGTGCAGTAATTTGCGCTTGCAAACTGGAATTTTGCGCGAGGGGCGGAACCATGGTTTGCGGGTGATTTAACAAGAGCGATTGCGTAACTGGTGGCAGGTGCAAAACTGTTGGAGACACCCTATTTAAATGATGGTTTTGCGCGTTTTGTGGTTTGCGGCATGGCGAGTTTGGACAGCAGAAGGCGCAAAAGGAAATTCGACCGCATGGAAATGGAGGTATTGGTGGATGAAGCCAACAAACATTTAAGTGAGCTACAGCAAAGAAGTGTGCCTGTCACAGAGAGGAACGCTATATGTGAACAAATCTGTAATAAAGTAAACGCTGTTGGTGAAACCTTGCGAACAGTGGATGAAGTAAAAAGAAGATGCCAGGATACTAGAAGGCGAACCAAAGAAAAACTGGCATATAACAAAACATCTGCGAACAAAATAGGAGGGGGCACAGAGATGCCTCTGACCAGCATTGAGGAACAAGTACAGCTGACGCTCTGTGAGGAGCAAATCACTGGAATTGCAGCTCCAAAATGGCAATGCTGGATAAACGAAATGTTTTGATGATCGTTTCCTCGTTCATTCCAAAAATATTCACACGGAGTGAAAAAATGCGTTCTCTGCGTCTCCTTGCTTCATTTCGATGTATCCTTCTTGCGGCAATAACCGCTGCCATGTGTGCGCAATTACGCATACAGACCATTTGCACCTTCTTTTGAAACGTGTTAAATATAGAGTCAGATACCGTTAGCAAAATTGCTTTCAGGTTTGATAAATCACTTTGCGAGTGCTAAATTAATATATTTACATGTTCTCCTCCCACAAGACGCACTTTTGCGTGTAAACGCCCCATATTGCATATTCATTGCAGAAAAAGTACTAAATGGATAAGAGGCGCTATTTAGCACGTTTTAAAGACCAAATCCTTTTAGCACGCTGTTGATAGATCAGTTTGTACATTTCTTAGCGTGCGCAGTGAAATAGCTCACGTTTTTATACACGCAAACCTTTGATAGATCCGGCCCTAAAACTGTAAAACCAATATCTGCATTTCTTTATAATATCAGTCCAGATAATGGCTAAGTGTGTAGTATTTGTGCAAATAATATTAGATATAACACTTTCAGGATGAAATTAACTGCTTCATATACAAAAAAATTCACTCAGACGGCGGTTGAATGCTAAAGTTTTAAAACTGCAGAAATTATTTATTTAAAACACCAGCAGGACAATATGTTGAGACTGTAAAGGTATTTAAGGATGATATTAAAGGTATCCTTTATACTTTAATAATCTTCTTAAAAACCAATGTAAGAAGCTTGGATTCTTTTGTATAGCTGCTTTTATGAAAAAAAGAAAATGTCTTAAATACAATATGGCTGTTTATAAATATGAAAAATACAACGTTCTGCCTGCCATTATAAGATTGACTTTAAGATCTATCTTCTTCTTAGTGAGGTATTATGGCCTTTAAAAGAGGAGAAAGCTTCATATTGGCATTCTGCATGTAAATGGAAACACAAGGATATTTTATTTACTCTCTTACTTAGAGTAGCAGCAAAGAAAAAGTTGTTCACCTTGGAAAAAAGCTCAACATCTGCCGAAATAAAAACAATAAGCAAATTGATACAGGAGTTTGTTTGTTTGTTTTTTCTTATTCCAATTTTTTTTTTTTTTTGCTGTGAGCCACATGTCTAAGTTTATTTAAAACCAATTGGAAGTTCATACTTTTTAAAAGGATGTTAATTTTACTTTGTAGTTATCAACTTATTGTTGTTACTCATATCTTCTGTTCAGAGATTGTTCATGCAACTCACTTAATCAGATCCTTTCAACTCCTTTCAACACTTGGAGGAAAAACTAAACCAATAAGATAGAGTTTTATGACAAGTTGTGGAGATCTGATTCCTGCAATAGCAAATAATGTATGCTTAAAGGAATAGTACACCCAAAACATGATTAGCCTTCATTTTCTACTCACCTCCATGCTGAACAACACTCTGGAGTACTTTTTTGATATCTCAAATGCATCTGGAGATCTGGGAGGCTTCTTGCTGTCTGCTGACATTCAAATAATGGAGGTCCATGGCGCCCGAGACAGAAAGGTCCATAAAAGTCCACAAAAACGTGTCAATATTCCTCCATACTGCTCGTCCAATGTAATCCAAGTGTCCTGAGTGGGTAGCATCCAGAATTTACTCGAAACGAAGTCATTTAGAATGTTTTTAGAGCATAAACAGTAGTGTATAGGATTTCCTAATAGCGCCCCCATGCGCGCTCACGATTCTACGGAAGCCGGCAGACCAAACCGGAAGGAAGTGCGCATTCAGCGTCTGGTCTGCCGATAATGCAAGCGTAGAAGAAGAAATGTGCTGTTTACCTGTGCAAAGAAAGAAACAACGAAAGAAAAATGTCTGAGGACTTCAGTGTTGAGGAAGAGCATGAGTTCTTTGCCGAGCTGAATGCGCTGGTTTGGTCTGCCGGCTTCCGTAGAATCGTGAGCGCGCATGGGGGCGCTATTAGGAAATCCTATACACTACTGTTTAGGCTCTAAAACGTTCTAAATGACTTCGTTTCGAGTAAATTCTGGATGCTACCCACTCAGGACACTTGGATTACATTGGACGAGCAGTATGGAGGAATATTGACAAGTTTTTGTGGACTTTTGTGGACCTTTCTGTCTCGGGCGCCATAGACCTCCATTATTTGAATGTCAGCAGACAGCAAGAAGTCTCCCAGATCTCCAGATGCATTTGAGATATCAAAAAAGTACTCCAGAGTGTTGTTCAGCATGGAGGTGAGTAGAAAATGAAGGCTAATCATGTTTTGGGTGTACTATTCCTTTAACGAGGGCCCAAAGAACCTCCCAGAGAAGTTCACTAACTCAGGCAAGAACTATTAATTATAGGCAAGAACCTATTAATGTATTTTAGTATAAACGACTGATTCCAGTTTCCATTAACTGTTTGTAGTCATTCACTTACTTACAACAATAAACACAATGTGAATAAGAATATCAAGCACAGTGTCTTTGTCTAAGATCGAACAGTAATTCACTGAGGATAGTTACAAAACCATCTGACCGACATAAGTAGCCAAATTTCTCAGGAATCTTTATCTTTGTCTTTAAATTTGTTGAATTGTCAGAGTCAGTTCACATCATTATTATTATTGCCTTCGTCTGCAGCAATAAACTTGATCTCAGCATTAGCAGTCCTTGAAGCCATGCTACTATCTCTGACCTTGTGTTTAAACAGGAATGGGAAGGTTTTTCTAAAGGACTTTTGAAAGCTCGCTCCCATAAAGCCATAAACTATGGGGTTGACTGAGGAATTGGCGTAGGACATGCAGTTAGCCCAGGTCTTGATCTTGTACATTGTGTAGTTAGGTTGGTACTTTGGATAGAAGGATTGGAAAAGCACAAAGATCTGGATGGGACCCCAACAGATGGCGAAAAGAAGGACAATCACCACCACCATCTTGGAGACTTTGCTCCTGATGCTGATCGTTCTTTCAGACAGGAGGTTGACCTGAGAAGGAAATCAGAGCAGATTTTTTGTCACATTTTTCATTAAGAAAAATATTTTGATCATGGCCTTAGTTGTGGTTAGACCATTTAAGGTTTTTTTTTGTCAAACATTAATGTTCTTTGGGGTATGACACCACTTGGACAACATCTATATCTTCAATTAGAAAAGAAATGGGGAGTCCAAAAGGGGTACACCTTTTCAATTTTTCAAGGAGTCTATTTTAATTTACTTCTGAATAAGTTGATGCCAGCAGAATCTTCACATTGCAGGGGGGTAAATTCATTTCTAGCCAGGAATGAAGACCATGCACTTTCTTTTCTCTACCTTCAAGATTTTGCTCAGTGATTATGAATCCTGATCATTAGACATGATTTTTTAATATTGATAAAGTAAAACAACCTCCTTACAGTAAAAATAATTTCAGTAAAACTATCTTCACATCATTGTTCAAATGAAGATTTTAAAAGTAATTTCTTCTTATCGACTGCAGACACAATCTTTAAGAATTGGCATAATTTCTGATAATGATAAGCTGCATAACCGGATATAAAACTCCAAGCCTCAAGGGCCAGTGTCCTGCATGTTTTAGATACATTTTTGTTAAACACACCTGAATCAAATAGTCGGATCACTAGAAGGACTCTGCAGAATTCGGTTGCGTGCTGAGAAGGTGACTCAGGTGTCTTAGATCATGGGACATATCTCAAAGATGCTGGACACAGCCCTCGAGGATTTGAGTTTGACAACCCTGCTTTATAGTGGCCTGTGCATCTTATTTACACTTTAACAAGGAATTGGAGTAACATGGCCTTCTATCTGCTACAAGTAAACACAATAATGTAAGGATTCCTGTCTGTGAAGCTGCTGTGTACATTCCCATGATGTTAGCCTTGCTCCCTCTGCTGCATGGGCAATCAAGTCTGAGCAGTTACACCTGTGATGGTTTATATTACAGCGAGTATCTGCACATGGGATGTGGACTATATATTTCAGGCTTTCACAGTGTGCAACCCCTATGTTAGTGAAAGATGGTAGTGTTTGTAGACCTTCCAGGAATCCTTCTTTTGCCCTCTTGATCTTGAACTGTCTTGTTCCTTTTTTCTGTTGTCTGGCATGCCCCTGTTGGATATTCCTAAAGCCTACTGATCTCTTGAAATCTACCTCCTGCCAGACATGCGCAATGTGGAGTCAACAAGTCATCTCCATGTCATTTATTTAATCTACCCAGCCAATTAACCAGGTGAGTCCAATCTGCACAGGTTAATTCATTGTGAAAATTGGACTCACCTGCTTCAGTGGCTGGGTAGAACAAATACATGACATGGAGATGACTTGTTGACTCCACATTGCCCATGTCTGCCTCCTGCCTTGCCTCACAACCGAGTCTGTTGGCCACTGACCCTTTCTTGATTGTACTGTCAATCATTTAGGAACAAACCCTGGATCTCGGTTCTGCCTCTTGCCTTTGTCAGTCTGGAAATCTCTGCTTTGTCAGGGGCGTCCTGTTACTGATTCTGTCAAGTAGATTTTGTATTTGAAACCTTCAAGAAAACACCGCCCCCTGTACAGTTTCTCTGTGCATGACCGCCAGACTGACAATGATTCCCCCACTATTCTTTGCCATGTCTAGCAGCATTAAAGGCACACTATGCAACATTTTTCAGTTAATTAATGTGTTCCATAACGTTTTGGATGATTAAATGAGTCATTTCAGGTTGAACAAAGGTATTCTCGGCCGCCCTGGTGGTCTGTGGAGGAAATACCGCACTTGCAATTGCAGGAGCCCTTGGCCCGCACCCACAGGCTCAGTAGTCTCGCGAGAGTCGGTCTTGCTTTACGGCGAGAACTGCTACATGCCCCCAGTTAAAAGCATGCTCGTTGCTAGCGCAGTGGCGATATTTGTGCAGTTATCATGGCGGAACCAGCGTGAAAACAGTGAAAGCCCATGTCGGAGCAGGCAAGAAAGAGGAAAAGGGCTCCGGACAGAGAGAGGAGTCTTACACGGGTGAACATCGGGCAAGCTTTTTCCGAATGGCGAGAGCTAAAATAAAAAGAAGGCTGCAAGGCTGACGCGGACCTCGCGTTTCTGCTGATGCGATTGTAAGTAACATTGGAATGGTTTCTCTCTCTCTGTGTGCATGTTCATACTTTCACTGTGTTAGTCATTCGTTGCGTTCGCCTGTCTGCTAAGCTCAAAACAACCGCGCCTGGCTTGACGGAGAAACCAGGAGAACAGCTGTGCATATTTACGACAGTGCACTTTTAATTTCGCCCTCTGGCGGGAGCCTCGCTGGAAAATCAACACCGGTTGCATAGTATACCTTTAATATTTAGATCAGTCATTCAGTGATCTGAATCATCTAAACAGTGCAACTGGGATAAATCATCAGAGACAGCACAATTTCACAGCTTTTGAGAAGGGAATCCAGTTCCAGTCAGCTCCTGTTCCTAATACTAAATGTTACTTTTGAATACATTTTTTTAACCCTTACTATGTGTGTCAGCTGAATTATTGGGTCTCCTATTCTGCCCAGGCATTATACAAAAATGTCCATTTGGTCTTTTTTTTAAGATTGTAGAAGTTTAGTGGATTTTGCTTTTTTTAAATTGTATATACAAGTCAAGCTTGGAAATATAGATTGGTAGTTCAGAATAGCAAACAAAACAAAAAAATATGCAAATGTAACATTTGTTTTAGGTTTTTGTGGTGAATCCTTGTGTAGTCTCTTTGGCAGCTCCAAAGTTTATATCTGTGCAAATGTTGGATATCTCATGGCTATTAACTACTAACGACAATCATCAAAACAATATCACTTAATTTTTTTATTTAGGAGAAACTTTTTTTTTATGTTTTACCTGATAATTGTTGTCAACAGGCTCTACAGTGGGTTGACCTACTCTCTTTACCATCATAGAGTAGCAGAAAGAAATTGTGAGCACCGGCAGCAGGTAGGCGGCAATAAACTGGTAGAGGATAAATGCACGCTCATGCGTCTTGGAGGGAAATCTCTCCATACAATATTGTCTCGGACCATACCAGTAGCCCTCCTCTATCCGCTGGTACATTAAAATTGGGGTGGAAAGGATGAAGGAGCCTGGAGAAATTAAATATACTTGTATTTAGAAAAACACAATTCTTTTACACATTTAGTATTGTTTTTGTTACATTTTTGTTTTTCTGTATATCAGCATAGATAAATCAAAGTTGCATACCAATCCAAATGCAAACACTGACTATCATGGCCACTTTTGGAGTCCGGTGACGGAGAGATTTAAGAGGATAGACTGTGATGTAACATCGGTCTCCACTCATGGCAGTCAGGGTGATACATGTTGCTTGCACCGTCACCTAAGAAGGAATCACAGTCAAACACATTTTATATATGGACTCTCATTATGTTTCTTAAACATATAAAACAAAAGCATGGTGTGTAGGAGGTGTATTAAATAGCTGACTTTTAAATAAACAACAAATCAATACACCTATAAGAATTATGTTAAATAGGGAACACATGTAAGCACTGAAAACAGACATCTGATTCTTTGCTGTTTCATAAAACCACTCACGATGTTTTTTTTCCTGATCCCTTTGTGAGAATTTCCCAAATAATAATGCAATACTACTGCATTATATCGAGGATATACTTAATAGAATACCATTACTTAAAAATTGTATTTATTAAGAAATTTTCACCTCCAAAACCGCAAATTTTCAAAATCACTGCCACAATAGGTATACATCAGCTTGGGTGGTTTAGGAAAGTTAGTCCATGAAAACTGTTAAAATATATGATAGATATGCGTAGTGTAGATTGGAGATAGAAACCAGCATCCCTCACGACGCCAGCAGGGATAAGTGTGTCAGAAAATGGATGGATGGATGGATGGATGGATGGATGGATGGATGGATGGATGGATGGATGGATGGATGGATGGATGGATGGATGGATGGATGGATGGATGGATGGATGGATGGATGGATGGATGGATGGATGGATGGATTATAACCAAATACTAAAGACAAGCAGTGTCTTGTGATTGCAATCCTGTACATGCTGACTCCTTGGTGAGGTTTGCACTTCTATATATCTTGCATCTCTATGTATTAATATGTACATGCCCCCTCTAACATATTATAATAAACAACAATTTAAGTTATGTTGTGGGGGAAAAACAGTATTCAACTATTCGCTTCCGTTAAATAAATGGAGGTTGATGGATTTCACTCAGTCGGCATTTCATTACATCTTTGCAAAGAGAGAACAAGACATCATTATTGCATGGTAATCAGCTCTGATCTGGCTAGCGTTTGTCTTCCTTACTTACAATAATAGAAAGTATTCAGAGTTAAAACACATTACAGACACTTTGGTTAAACAGTAACATATTATGAATAAACCTTGAGAAAGGATCTGGCTTGTTATGGGAATAGTATTTTCTTCTATGCAAACACTCCTCACTCAGACATTTTGTGGCCTTGCAGGTGAAACAGATTGAGTAAAAACATTTTTCAGTGGATAAATAGCATAACTTAATGTATGAAATAAGAGAAAAATAAATTTTCTTACTACAGTTATCATAACAATGCACACAACACATATCTATACTTAACCATGTTACTAGATTACTATGAACCCATTTAAGAGCTGGGTAAGGGTGTAGAAGTAATCAATGTGTCTCCTTTGTAGATTCTGCACAGTGATACAGTTTGTAGCACTGTTTCCTTGCAGAAAAAAGCTCTTGGATTTAATTCCCAGTCTTCCTACATGGAGTGTGAATGTTATTTCTGTACACCTATGGGTTCTCTTTGGGTACTAAGACTTGCTCCCACAGTCCAAAAAAAGAGAAAGTACATTATTAGGTTAACTGGCCTCTCCAAATTGCCCTTAGGTGCTAATGTGTGTGTAGGGTTATACACTCTGTGCAGAATTATTAGGCAAGTTGTAGTTTTGAGGATTATTTTTTATTATTGGGACACAGTTGTGTTCTCAATCAACCCAAGACTCCTTAATATCAAAGTTTCATATTTTTGGAAGTTGATGTGTTTTTGTTTTTTTGTTTTTAGATTTGGCCGTTTTATGAGGATGTCTGTGTGTGCAGGTAAATATTACGTTACGAATTATTAGGCAAGATAATAAAAAACAAATATATACGCATCTCACTTTTTTTATTTTCAACAGATAAACCAATGTAACAACTCAAAATTCAGAAATAAACATTTGCGACATTCAAAAACAAAAAAACTAATCAGTGACCAATATAGCCACCTTTCTTCACCATGATGCTCAAAAGCCTTCCATCAATAGATTCTTTCTTGATCTGTTCGCGATCCATATTGCCTGCAGCAGCCACAGAAGCCTCCCTGACACTGTTCAGAGAGGTGTACTGTTTTCCCTCCCTATAGATCTCACATTTCATGAAGGACCACAGGTTCTCGATGGGGTTCAGATCAGGTGAAGAAGGGGGCCATGTCATTATTTTTTCTCCTTTTAGACTTTTTCTGGCCAGCCACGCTGTGGTGTACTTTGATGCGTGTGACAGAGCATTGTATTCTCATGAGTGTGGTCTTTTTTCATTTTCCAATAAAAAATAAAAAATAAAAGCATTTTAAAAGAAACACTTTTGAAAATTTCGGATTCATTATTTTCCTGTTTTGTGTGTCAACTTTCACTGTTGCTAGGCTACAGAGTGTTCACAGAGAAAGCTGCAGAAGGCTAGACCTGTTTGAATTCACAGCCTAATCTCTTTCGATCTCCTTATTTTCAAGGACTTCGAAGGATCCAGTCCAGGTAGATTGCATCCTTGGAAGCCCATAAATTCAAACACAGCCTGACTCTCGTTAAAAGTTGAGAGAGAGACTAAGAGAGAGAGAGAGAGAGTGCAAGAACCGTCCTTTTCCAGGACCTGGTTTAGCAAAAAAAAAGCTTGGCTAAGTGCATGTGTATGGAGGATAAAGTGCCAAAATTAAATAAATTTATGGGGTTAACGCGAATCGAGTCGCCACCTACTGTATCAGAGTATGTTTACAACCTGTGGATCACAGTCTCTGTAATCGATTTGCTTCGCCTTAATGTGCAGGGTGACCAATCAGGTGTTAGATAACCGCCCCCTAACTTTGATGGGTAAGTTTGACAGATTCTTTTAATGGTTTCGATGCACTGCGACACAGGACCATGAAATAATTAAATACACACTGAAATAATTATATATATTTTTTTTATAAAATGAAGACGTATTTTATTAAATTAATGACACATTTATATATTTAATTCCTTATTTATTTAATGAATTACACATTTAATTAATTGTTTATCGCTGTATTTATTTATTTAATTGTGGCACTTTATATGAGTGACGTGGTTTTAATTAATGAATGACACATTTATTTATTTAATTCCACATTTAATTAATTATTGACACATTTCATTATTTATTTTATGCTGTATTTATTTATTTAATTTTGGCACTTTTTATCCTCCATACATCTGGCGAGGCTTACACTTTATTCCGCTTTCCCTACCTCTTTTTTCAAACGTCAGACCCAAAGACAAGTTTTCTGTCCAAAATCACTGATGAACTGCATAGCAGCATTGTATCTGCAGCAATTGTAGTATCTAGGCAAGAGCCAAGGTTAGCTGTTTTATGAATTGCAACATAAAACTGATTAAAACTAAACTAAAACCTTTTTAAGTTTTAGTTAACTAAAACTATCAAATATAGTAATGACTACAATGTTACTAAAACTCATCAGAGTTTTCGCAATCTAAGATGGCTGTCAAAACAATACTGCAAGGGGTGAGGTGAGCAAGAGGAATCCAGGCTGAGGTGGAACATCTGTCTGATGAGGCGTGCCATATGAGGGAGCTGAGCATTACCCTGGAGTTAGCAGGAATGCAGATGAGGTTTGCAGTTTGCAAATGAAGGTAGAGTTCTGGTTTAAGCTCTTAGGTGAGTTAGGGCAGCAAAACAGCCTGGATGAGAGTAAACAGAGAGCTGAGTAGAACTGTCAGCAGATGTTTCGCAAGCAGTATAAAAGAATAAGCTGTTAACAAGCTCTAAGGTTAACAAAGCACAGGAGAGCAAGAGATCACCATTGATGTGTAATCATCCAGTGGAGAGTGGAGGTCCTGGCCTTCCTTAAATACTTCCAGCTTGATGACCCAAAAGAGCTGGAAGTGCTCCAAAATGCTCCCGTCAGAGAGGGGGGGGCATGGACACACAAATAGATCATGGCACTTTTAGATATTTAATTCAGTCTGCACTATTGCCACCTTCTGCAGGTGTTTTTATTATGTTTGGAGCATCATATTAAGATATAAAAGGACTGGTTGTAAAAAAAAAAACTGAGAGGGGTCATCATAAGTTCAGCACTTTAGCTGCTGAGAAAATGATCCCATAAAAAATGATATTGTAATGTGTAGGACCCATGTTGTAATACACCGCACTTGGAAAAATATATGGTGATTCAAATCTAGATATTTACTAGCAAATTTAAGTTTGGAAAATAATTGTTGGATTATTTAAAGCAAACATACAGTGATTATCAGGATTATCAGATTTTATTAACAGAGAGCTTCAATCCATGTGAGGAAGCAATGCTGTTTTTATTATTGTACTTTACTCTTAACATACAAATCTTCACCTTTCTCCATATTTTCATGTTATATGCATCAACTGTATTAATGTGAAGGTTGAAGTACAAAAAGGTTAAAGTACAAGACAATCTTTTTGATTTTGATATCCAAATACTGTAGATATAGAGTAGAATTTAATGTTCTTGTCCTGGTAAACCAATTTAGAGGTAATGTGTTGGATGTACTGTAATCTGACCTAAAACTGTAACTTCATATTACATGATGATATTTTTTTGGCCTACCTGTTAAGCTATAACATTGCTGATAACTTCATGCCTGACCTTTTTTGCATTTTTGAAAATGTTATTTGCTGATTAACTTGGTCCACAGCGTTTTTTTTGTTTTATTTTGTTTTGTTTTTGTCTTTCTCTGATACATCAGAAGGATAATATTTTAGCTTTTTAAGAAATCCTTTAAATCAAAATGTTTAAATACATTGGTATTATTGTGGATTTGAACTTAGATTTGGGAATTACCATGTAATCTTTATACAGTTTTTTAAGCTTATGAACCCCATATATCTACTGTACCCAGACCTAAGTTGGTAGATATATCTAAACAAATTAGGGCCATCAAACCTTTACCAATTTCCTTATATTCAATTGAATTCAAAGAAATCAGTAGGCTGGATAGGTAAGATTAGGTGGTTGAATGCCATTAAAATAATTTGAGTTCAATCAGAGGATTTTGAACAGCTCTGAAGAAGGGCAAACAG